TCTTTACTTTTTGTTTCATTCTTGTTGTTCTGTTTGACTAAAACATTGTTTGACCCTAGGGCTGCCACAAACAATTATTTTTATAATCGATTAATCACCAATTATTTTTTTCGATTAGTGACYAATCGGATCATACGTTAATTGAATATAAAACATAGAGCGTTTATCATGCCAGAATGCAGCTGCTATTATATAACCCCAGTTACCACTACTGTGCATGTGTGTCAAGGACAGAAAGGCAGATGGCAGTGGAAGGTGTCAAAGCAGTTTGGAGAGAAAAGCAAAGTAAAGAAAAAAAACCCATTAATCGATTATTAAATTAGTCATCAACTATTTTAATAATCGATTAGTCGTCGATTAATCGATTAATCGTTGCAGCCCTAACTGGAAACCTATCATTATTTTGAAAGGAACAGTGCTCTACAGCAGAGGTTCTCAAACTGGAGTCTCAAGACCCCCAGGGGTCCACGAGAGGTATCTTGGGGGTCCTCAAAAAATTTCACTACATTGTTAATTTGGTTTTTATTTTTAAAAATACATGGAGAAAATGAACTAATAAAACAAACACAATAAACGTAATAAAAAATATATATTCCCATGGCATTTAGGGGTTGAAATTACAATGAATTATGTTTTAAAACAGCATGGGGTTTAGGAGGGGGTCCCTGCAATTTATTTGCCCTTGTAAGGGGTCCCCAGATCCAAATGGCTTGAGAACCCCTGCTCTACAGTGCAGAGATGGGGACTTGTGACTCGGACTTGGACTCGCACTTAAATCCCTACTATTAGTGACAGACTCGACTTGGATTTGGAACCTAAAGACTTGAGACTTGACTTGGTTTGAGACTTGCGAACAATGCAAGTCTTTTCACTGCCCGACTCATGATTCTCACTCCTTCAGTACACATCCATGCTCCGCTCCTTTGAGGACAAATACATAAAGTTTTAAGAGCAAAGACATTTACTCCTGCTCTCAAATTGAAAATATACACTCTTGATTAAAGTCCGAATAATTCTTCCATACGCTCCACTCCCCCTCACCTGAGAATGGGAGGGGCCAGCGCCGTACATTGTTAATGACGTGTACCCTACGTGACAAACAGCTTCAGCATGGCAGGTGTGTTGCAGTATATTCATTATAAGCTTTGCTTACAGAGACTTTATTCAATGCCATGACGAGAGACTGGCTGAATGCAAAGTGTGTGGAGTCCAAATCCAAAATTTGTTTTTGTGATGACTTGTGCAGCCCTTTACTTTAAGGATTCTGCTTCATCATTTTCACTGACATGCTTTTATGCATTTAAAAATATTTTTTCCGGTATTTTACTGTAAAATCAGCACCATAATTGTTGGATTTTTTTCTTTGTCAATGAAAAGATATAAAAACGCTTTTGTGTCCTGATGCATCTCAGTTTGTATACATAAAGATTGTGGAGTTTTCCACCAAGAAACTGACCTTCACGCAGAAGGAAAAAAATTGTATAGGTCTTCTGGACGGGTTCTTCTCTAATGAAACGTTTCGTCTCTCCTCCAAGAGACTTCTTC